TTGTCCTCTTACATCATTTACATCATGTCCAAGTTTTTTAATTACATTTATATTCTTCTATTTTTATTGAATTTGTTGAAATATCTACACATCATAATGTAAGAGTAATTTTTCAATCAAGTATTATTGAAAAATATTTTACTTCTTCTATCGTATTAATAATTACACTTTTAATTTCGGAAGCTAACATTTGTATTAATTCATTTTATGTCTTATGCCCGAGATAATGATTATGAATTTCATCATCTTGAATTTGTCAAACATATTCTTGCATTATTGGACCAAATTTCTCAATCATTTCAATTAAACTTAAAAAAATTTCCATTGCTATCTTGATATATTTTCCCATTCTTCCCACAAAATGCCTAAATAATTTTAGCAAGAGTTTTTACTACAACTAAAATTCTTACAAGTAACATTTTCCAATAATCTTTGTCTTTGTTAATTGTTCTTGAATATTTTCATCAATAGTTTTATTTTTTGAAAATCTTATTTCTAAACCAACCCATGAATTCATGTCAGTGATATGCTTATTAGTTGTTTCATGAGTTTTGAGCTTATAACTCAAACCTTTCCAATCTTTAGTTCCTTCATTAACTAATTGACTTCTGCTAGGTTTTGAATTGAATAACGTACAACAAAAGCAATATAATCTATCTAAATCTTTTGAATATATTAATCATTTTCTATCATGCTTTTCTCTGTTTGACAATTTTCGAGTATAATGTGCAATAGAAAAATGTCCATTATTTTCATCATTAGAAAAGTCTAAATCATTTTCCCTAATAAGAACTCTTTCAATTAATGTCTCTTAATTTTGTGTCAATATTTGTCCATTATCCTGGATCATAGATATTTATTGGAACAAAATCTAATATTTCACTATATTTATTGGAACAAAATCTAATATTTCACTAACATTTTCACATTCTCTATCACTTTCTACTTCACTAACAAGTTCACATTCTTTATCAATTTCTAGTTCACTAACATGTTTAAATTCTTTACCAATTTCATTTTCTTTTAGATCTTTTTGGCATTCCGTTGATTTTGCTATATTATCTAATAGTTCAATCGTTGAATCATGATGTTAATTTTTTGTTGTAATTGGTTTATCACTAATAACAAATTTATCAAGTGCTTCTTTTGGAAATTTAATAAATTCATCTTGTTTTCTCTTCTTTTTACATTTTTCACATCCATAATCATATCTTCGAGTAGACATACTAATTATATAACTTACAATTGCAACAATGACAAATTATAACACAAAATTTTTTCAAAATCAAGTTAAACTAAAATAAAAGTTAAGGAACAACACAACCTGGTCCCGCGAGAGAGCAAAATAGTTGGCTTTGTCATAAAACTCACAACATCAAAATTCACAGGTAGCAATCAACTATCAGGATTCAAGCATTTAAGTTTCTGTAAAAACAAAAAGAGACATTCTAAACTGAAAAAAACATCAAAAATATGAAATCAATATATTAAAAATTCTAAGCACACTAATTTCTAAAAATCTCTATAAATTTTCTAACAAAAAATGAGAGAACAATTGAACAAACCAGTTTATTATAGTAGATTGAGTCCAAACAATTACGACCCTTGAATCTTGATCACTATCAATTAATCAATGAGTTGTTAAACTACAAAAGATTGCACACACAGAGAGAAAAGGCATGAGGGAATGGCGTTAAGTAGATATTATGGTCTGTGAATGAGTCTTATAATGATAGTAATCGATAAATTTGTGCAAGAGAGGCGGAGTGATGTAGGGAGATTTGCTTAATTCCTCCACAATTGAGAGAGAGAGAAAGAAAGAGAGAGGCAGAGAGATGTGTCTAGTCATCTACCTTCCTTGATGTAAAAGTTTAGCAGTCTACTACAACTGGCAAGTGGAGCAATTTTCTAAGTAAGATATTGATGTTTTAATAGACCTATCAATAAACTTTGGGTCCTCTTAGCCCATCCAAATTATATGTACCATAACTAAAACTCTTAAAAAGGGGCCCAAAAGTTTGCAAAAACTGGGGCCCTAGGCGGCCAACTAAATGGCCTAGGGCCGATCCTATCTCCAGCGTGGTATCCTCCAAGTGAAGTACAGTCTTTCGATACAACTATGATTAAGATTGGATACGATTGTCAAGCTTTACTTAGGCTTCGTTTAATGCGATGAAAAAATAGAATGATGAAAAGTTAAAGAGATAGATAAAACATTATATTTGATAAGGAATGAAAATAAGAATAATAGAAAAGTTGATGGATTATGTTCCCTTTCAACTCACAAACATCAATCTATCTAAAATTAGGAGGAAAGTGAATGAAAAGTTAATTGTATTTATTGAAATATATGTTACTAGGGGTAACACATGCCTGAAATCATGGTGCAATGTGAATGATTTTGAGATGGATGTTGGTGGTTGTTAGATTAGTCTATTTCAGACCGTCGGATGAACTTATTGAAGTCTGCCCTATTTTAGATTATAGATTATAGATTTGTCTATACATATATCATATTTATCAATTACATATTGTGTATACATTAATTTCATACATAGATATAATAGTAATATATGTATTTGTACTTTTTTTAATAAAAAAATAAAAATAAAAAATACTTTTTCCATCTTACCAAACAAAAAAAAATAAAATTAATCATTCCTACTTTCCATCCCTCTTACCAAACACAAAAGAGGGAATGAAGGATTTCTCCCTTAAAAAATAAAAAGTGTATCATTCTCAGTTTTCATTCTTCTATTTTTTTCATCCACCCTACCAAACAGATCATCATGGAAAAAAGTTCTACTATTTTAATTTTCCTAAAATTTCCCACAATGTTTGAACATTGTTCTTTGGAACTTTTTAGTAGAATTAATCAATTGTGTTGTCCAATAAGAAATTTTGATAATTTTCTCAATGCTGTCCCTTGTTCCAATTGTCCCATTGACTCTTGTCCATGTGCAAAGGTTTGTAAACTAATTTGAGTTCTTTTACCCGTTTTGACAGGATTTAACTTCAATACTGAAGGAGATTTGATCTTTTGTACTAATTCATCTTTTGCTTGCTATGTTTAACATCATGAAAGAAAACAAGGTTTATATTGATCTTATTGGTATGTGTTTTAGACTGGTTTGCAGACGTTACAAAATGTGTACTGAACATGTATAGGCCCAGTTAATAAGTGATGTCATATTGATTACTATTGCTTAAAAAATGCATTTAGCATAAAACTTTGTCAAATTTTGCAGGCACAAATGAGAAACTGCCTAATACTTGAGAATTCGATCTTTGCAAGTACTGGCATTTTTTGAAGTGGAGGGGGACGAGGGGTAAATAAGTACCGGCATTACATCACTGACGAATTGATTTATTAAGCATCAAAAAGTAAGATGAAGGTCTAATCCATTCTTAGTCATCTTATTTTTCCTTGCGTTCTTGTCAAACTACTTGACTTCATTACTATTGCATTTTGTAACTCGCAACTATACATAATCTTCCCACTCAAATGAAGAAGTACAACTGGGTTCATAAATCCAGGTCTATTTGTTCTTTTTTAATGGGATGATGATCAAGAGAAATGTAAAAAGTAAATTATACTTCAGTCTAATAAAGGGGAGTGTGGTATCCGACAAAAGATGCGAGTTTTTATATACTAGCATCCATTATAACGCTTTCACCCTCAATAAGAGAATCGATATTTAGTATTCTTTTTCTATTTGAATGAGGAAATTCGAGCTTGGTCTTCTTTGTCGTATGACTTATTTTCTTTAATTTGTGAAATCTAGATATTGGGTGATCACATGCATCTTAGATCTTTTGGCAAGGGTGACGAATGTTTCAATAACAACTCATTGAGAAAATTGTCATCTTAATTGCATAGTTTAACAACTCATTGAGAAAAGTGTAGTTGAAGGTTATGGCCTATTCAATATTCCGCTGGTGCATATTTAAATTTGGTTAGTGTTGCAGGCGAATCCTTTGAAAAGTCTTCCAAAGTTGTCCAGAATAATCATTGTTGTCATAGATGCTCTCTCTCTCTCTCTCTCACTCACACACACACACAACAACCCTACTCACCAACCAATAAATTGACATAATGAGGAAACTCTGGACTTTATCTCTAGCTATAATGCTTGTCCCAGTCCCACTTGTTCGTCTCGGTGCATCATTGAGGTGTGTAAAGTAGTATTACATTACCTGTTTGTTGGGCCTAATATTTATTTTAGCTCATCCCAAAGTAGGCATGACTCTCAAAATGGGGATCTTTTTATATTTGTGGGGCACAAACCATCAGAGCCTACATTCCCATGCTGTGGCACTGAACAGTTTGATTTTTTTTAAAAAAAAATGTACTCGCTTTACTCATTCTTTTTAACCCTCTAATAATCTACATTAACAAATACAAGGGTCGCTAATATTTAAATACGAGTGATTGAAAAAAAAATTATTTCATATTAGTATATGTATTGTTGATATTAAAGAACATATATTCGCATAATCACCCAATAATTATTTGAACGGTGCCATTTTTTTTCTCAAAAAGCTGGGTGTCCATTTTATATAGCAATGTTATATGGGTTTAGCTTGCTAATTTAGTTTGTTTGGTCTATTCTATTGTTGTTATTAGGTTTATAGTTAGTCTGAATATTCGGTGGAGGTAACTGCAATTCAAAAATAACAACAGACAAATAGGAAATCTGGTGATTTTAATCCCAATGTCATTTATTACAGTCCTCGTGCTAACGTAATAATGATATTCGTATTCAATTTAGAATTGTGACCATTGAATTACTAGTAAAATTTTATTTAATAATGGGACTCATGCTAATCCCAATAACCTTTTGCTCAAAGCAAATATGGCAGAGTGCAGTCATGACAAAGAAGTAAAGGGCAGCTAAAAATGCAGTAGACCATAATCCACTACACCATGTGAACAGTTGGATCAATTAACCACATTGTTAACCTCCCATTCACTGTACCTTCCTACTATAACATAATTACTACAAAGAAAGCTTGAGGTCCAAGCCATCACCACCATCTTCTTTGTCATCTTCTTTAATTTTATTTTGTGTGTCAGAAGAACCTGATATGTCGGTTTGAGGGCCTCTGGACGGAGCTTCCTCCATGAAATCTTCTGGTCGGAACGACGGCGTCCAAACCTGAACCGCCTTCTCTTTGGTGGCCTTCTTTTCTGCCTCCTTTGATTTACCTAACCCGCGTGTCATACGTTCCTGCACTTCTCGTATGCTTCTGATCAATGCGAAGAACTTCTCCATCTTCGCTTCTTCATTCTCTTCTTCGTTTCCCATCTTCCTCTTCCTTCTTTCTCCTTCCATATATTGATTGATAGGTTAGAGAGAGAGAGAGAAGGGCTATTGCCTCAGTTGCTTAACGAACTACAAACACATACACCTCTCGAGAGAGAGCGACGGGCGTTTATAGAGTGGGGAACTTATTCAGTTTAAGTTGACTCTATGTACAGAAGTCAATAATTAATACTTGATGAGATGATAAAAATGAAGAAAGTCTATCTTGTGCAGAAGTATGTCGTAGGAATGTGTTCTGTCGATTAAAATGACAAAAATACCCACGCAGGGAACAATTATTAACTTAAATTCCTAGTTATCCAGAGAGGTAATCGTATCTTTCTTGCGTTAAATTCGAATCATAATGCTTTAATTTGGATCGTATTAAGTCATATCATTTTAGATATTGTTTGGGTCGACATGTGTTACACCCCGAATTTTCACAAACCCGAGAAATAAGTTAAAGTAGAGAAGAAAAGTAAATAAAAAGTCATTAGGTTGGATAAATTGGTTTCTCATTCATTTTTCACGTTTTTTCAAAGTTTTTCAATACACATTTCTTCCATGTTTAGCCTATTTCATCAAGATTTCTAATCCCCCTTTTGACATCTTTTCCACCTATTTAAAAGGTATTTTACACACTTAATAAGTCTTTTAATAATTCATAAAATTTTTACATAACCTCCTTTATTTTTCAAGCATTTTTTTTCACCTAATATTTACAATATTACATATGCATAATCATATCACAACCCACCCTCACTTGTTGGCCACAATCAATGTAAATTAAATATACATCTCTTATTCTCAATATACACATCTAATTATCTCAATATACACATATAATACTCATTAAATAAAGACATCTCATATTTCAATTTGGTTTACACTCTTACACTTTAAAATGTTTCAAGAATTTTAATCCACTACTATTTCAAATTGAAATACAAGTAATTTGGGTTTATGCTCATAAATACAAAATATGTCCCAAGGGCCAAATATTCATTCAAGTATCTTTTCCCCCCTTCCTTTAAGACTTTATCAAGGCTCAAGTACCGGGAGCCTCATCTGTAATATGACATCTCACGAATGGGTCAGCTCAACTGCTGGTATGACAACATGCTAATGCTAAGAACAAATTTAAAGCGTGGCATGTGCAAGTGTACATTGTAAAAGTTACAACCCCGTAATCCCTCATTGTTATGCAATGTTAATATGCATGACACACCCATACAATTCTATATCACCCATGTCTTGCTTCACGGTCTGCCCCTGTCAACCCGCAAGTACTGTCATTGGCCAAATTTTGGGTTTTTCGCCATAGAATCTACACCCTCATAATGCATAGCATCAAGTGATGGGTTAAGCCCAAATAGTCCAATTTATGTGTTAAAATCCAACCTCAGTTGAGGAGCCCAACCTAATTTTGATTCCACCAAGTCCAAGACCGGTTAGACTTTTTGTTTAGCACGTCACCAAGAGGAAAGCATGGGAAGCTTATCTGCACCACCAAAGAAAACGGTCCAAATCCACCAAGTCCAAGACCGGTTAGACTTTTTGCTTAGCACGTCATCAAGAGGAGAGCATGGGAAGCTTATCTGCACCACCGAAGGAAACGGTCCAATCTTTGACCACGTTTCATGAAGAGCTCCCCAACCTCCTCCTTCCGTTGAGGATAAGTCGTGATCTCCACCAAGAATAATCTCTTAGCTGCGATAAAGAAGCCTTGAGGATAAGTCGTGATCTCCACCAAGAATAATCTTTTAGCTGCGATAAAGAAGCCTTGAGGATATGTCATGATCTCCACAAGAATGATCTCTTAGCTGCTATAAAATAGCTCCAATCTGGTAGAAGATGGAGATGAATGTCACGCCCCACCAGAGACTTACAGAGGACGAACCAACTACCGGAGATTACTATTTCTTTGATTCTCCATTCTCTCTCCAAAGCTTGTATCTCTATTCTCCATACCTTTGAATCAATAAAATACCCGACAACTGAAGCCATTGAAGAGTGGACGTAGGTCGAATTGACCGAACCATTATAAATTGTGTCTTCTTTAATTTTCTCATTGATTTCATTGCATTTATTACATACATTTGACAGGTGGTGTGCAAAACCATTTTTGTGCATCATCAGTTTGGCGCCGTCTGTGGGAATCGACAAAATTCTCACTCCTGAACATTACATCCATTAACTAATGGCGATCACTACTCGATCCATGAACCAACACGAAGACAATCCTCCACGAGAGGAGGAGGTTGCTCCCCCGCCTATCAACCCTGTTCCGGATACTCTAGCCCCGAATCCCCAACAAATATTGGAGACCATGCAGCAACTGGTTGCTCAAAACCAACAGTTACTGCAACTCATACTTGCTGGACAAGGAGGAGCACCACACGGAGGTGCACAACATGGAGGACCCCAAGGTGGAGCACCACACGGAGGTGCACAACGTGGAGCACCACACGGAGGTGCACAACATGGAGGGCCCCACGAAGGTGCACAACATAGAGCTCCACATCCTGGACATCAAGGAGCACCACGCCCTGTTGCTCCACGCCCGGGTGCCCCATTGGGCACCCCACTTCGGGAAGCCCAACATGAGGGAGCTGCACCTCCCCCTCCCCTTGCTTTCCAGGGAGAAGACCCTTATCTCCAGAGGATGAGGGTGAAAACCAAAGCATGGGGCATGAAAGCCACTTCCATGATCATTCCATAGGAGCCCCCAATCATTGGGACGAGAAGATAAAGGAGGTACAGAATCAACTCGGTGATGTCTTCAACGCCATGAAGGCACAGGGACCCGAGACTGTTGACCACCTGGTAAGGCGTACTGATACCCCTTTCAAACCTGATGTAGCAAACTACCCCCTCCCTCAGAAGTTCAAAATGCCATCCATGGAGACCTTTGATGGAACAAAGGATCCACTGGACCACCTCGACACTTACAAGACCTTGATGCAATTGCACAACGTACCAGACGAAATCATGTGCAGGGCATTCCCAACCACATTAAAGGGGTCTGCCCGACAGTGGTTTGCTAAGCTCTCCCCCGCCTCTATTACCTCTTTTGTCGAGCTTAGCAGATCATTCGTCTCACACTTCATAGGAGGGCGTCGCCACCAGAAGCCAGTTACGCACCTGCTTAGTATAAAGCAGGACCGCGAGGAGAGCCTGAGGAGTTACCTCACTCGTTTTAACGAGGAGGTACTCCAAGTTGATGAACCTGACGACAAGGTGACGATGACCGCCTTCTTGGGTGGCCTCCGTTCATCAAGTTTCCTTTTCTCAGTTCTGAAGCGCCCACCGAAGAGCATGCCAGAGCTGCTAGCCAAGGCCCAAAAGTACATAAACGCAGAAGACATCACAAGGGCCAGGCGGGGTGAGTCTTCCAGAGTAGGTGAGAAAAGGAAGAAAGAGAGAAGGACGATAAGAAGGAAACCAGCAACAAATATGGCAGGACAGAGAAAGTCCCTGTCAAGGACCGGCTAGGTCCTGCTCCTCAGAGGAACCGTCAACCCTTCACTCCCCTCAATGCTTCCGTGGAACACATCCTATTCCAGATCCAGGATGACCCCGCGATAAAGTGGCCTGGAAAAATGAAGTCTCCTCCAAATCGCAGAAATCCTAACAAGTATTGCCGCTTCCATCGTGACCACGGGCATGACACCGACGATTGCTACGACCTCAAGAGGCAAATTGAGGAGCTCATCCAGCGTGGTCACTTACGTCAGTACGTTGCTGGAAGGGAACGAGTACCACAACCTCACAACCAGGAAGATCAGCAGCCTGTGGGGGAAATCCACACTATCTCAGGGGGACTAGCAGGTGGGGGAGAATCACTTTCCGCGATGAAGGCCCATGCCAGGAAGGCAAGACATGTCTACGAGATGCGCCCATCTAAGGTGCCGAAGCAGGAAGGCGACGAGGTCATATCTTTTTCAAACAAGGACCTGGAGGAAATCCAACACCCCCATGACGACCCCTTGGTGCTCACCATGACGGTGGCCAATTTTCATGTGCACAGGATCCTGGTAGATAGTGGCAGCTCTGCAGATATCCTGTTTGCAGAGGCCTATGACAAGCTCAACCTGGGCAGGGAGAGGCTACAGCCAATCAGGTCACCCCTCATTGGATTCTCAGGGGAAAAAGTGTATCCCCTTGGATCCATCACACTTCCCGTCACCGCCGGAGTAACACCCCGAAGCTCCACAGTCATGGTCAATTTCCTGGTAATAGAATGCCCGTCAGCCTACAACATCATATTAGGGCGGCCAGCTCTTAACACATTAAGAGCTGTGCCCTCTACCTACCATCTCGTTCTCCGCTTTCCAACCTCAAATGGAGTCGGAGAGGTCAAAGGGGACCAAATAACAGCCAGAGAGTGCTATGTATCCTCTATGAAGGCTAGGAAGCCCCAAGAAGCATTGCAGGTTGAGGTCCTTGACCCAAGGGATGACTCCGCAACAGAAAGAGGAGAACCAGTCGAGGAACTCATCCCTGTGGTCTTAGAAAAGGAGCACCCAGACAGAAGAATTTACATTGGCTCTTCCCTTTCTGAAGAGCTGGCTCCCCTGTTGATTGAATTTTTGAAGCGTAATATGGACATCTTTGCTTGGTCGCATGAGGACCTTGAGGGCATCGACCCGGAAGTAGCTACCCATCACCTCAATGTCGATCCACTGTACAAGCCTGTTCGCCAAAAGTTAAGGGGAGCCTCCACTGAAAGGGCCCAAGCCATGGACAAGGAGGTTAGAAAGCTGGTTGATAACGGAGCAGTCAGGGAAGTGGCGTATCCAGAGTGGCTCTCCAACGTAGTAATGGTTACTAAGGCTAATGGGAAGTGGCGTCTCTGTGTCGACTTCACAGAACTGAACAAGGCATGCCAAAAAGATAGTTATCCACTGCCGCGGATTGACCTCCTCATCGACGCCACCGCTGGGCATGAGTTGCTCACTTTCCTGGATGCATACTCGGGGTACAACCAGATTAGCATGCATCCCCCAGACCAAGAGAAGAC